ACCTAATGTCAAGCCAATCACTGTAAGTAAGCAAATTACCCCAAATTATGATTACTTACATCAGAGGGATATACCTAGGCTCACCATTAGCAAACTGTGTGAGGAAATTAAGGATGACTTTGCACTATTTAATTTGGAGAAATCCAAGGAATTTGATCCTGAACTTGCTGCCAAGGAGTACATATCAGACTCTGAAAACCCTCATAAGAAGGAGAATAAGGAAGAATGGTTAATAACTTTACCTAGTATCACTAGCAGAGTCAATAACCTGGTAAATTCATTAAAAAGAAAAGAAGAATCAAAATTGTTAGCTGCCTTAGCTCCATCCAATTCAGATCAGGTAGAAGACAAAGGGGATTTCATTACAGTGGGGAGGAGGGGAAAACAGAAGAAACCTGTACAACACACCCCAGGGATGATAACTAGGAATGCTGCTAGGAGGCAACCAGTTACTAACCCACACCCTTTCCAATGAATGGTCTTATCTGGAATTTGAGAGGTCTGGCTGCCTCCGGGCCAAGACTTTCTCATTTAATTTCTGAATGGAGGATTAATTTTCTTGTTGCTATTGAACCATTGGTTCACTCTAATAAGGCAGATTATTTTAAGCTTGATTTGGGTTTTTCTAATGTTCTCTTTAACACCCTGAATAAGGTTTGGATATTTTGGGATTCTAGCATGATTAATATTTCAGATGTTACTTGGGGACCACAACATGCTCATTTCAAATTTACCTGTGCAACATATACCGGATGGATTACTGCCATATATGCCAGACATACTCAGATTGAAAGAAGAGAATTATGGGAGTGCATTACTAACCTGGCAAATACTATTCAGGGTCCTTGGCTTGTAGGTGGAGATTTCAACACTATTATGACAAATGCAGAACATAAAGGGGATAATATTCCTAATCAGGCTAGTATGTTGGATTTTCAGAACTGTGTTTCTTATTGCAATCTAATAGACTTACCTTATTCTGGTTGCAAGTATACTTGGACAGGGGTCAGAACTAGGACAGACTTTGGAGAAGATTAGATAGATGCTTGGTTAATGAGGCTTTTCTTGACTTGTTTGAAAATATTAAGCTCACAAATCTTAACCAAGCACCTTCAGATCATTCACCTATGCTATTACAGTGTTCAAATCATTATCAATCTGGGCCCAAGCCTTTTAGATTTCATAACATGTGGCTCTCTCATAGCTTTTTTTAAATGTGGTTACCAAGAGTTGGAATGAAATCTCTACAGGGGGAGGCATGTATGGGTTAGTAACTAAATTGTAGAGGCTTAAAAAGGATCTGAAAAGATGGAACATTGATGTCTTTGGAAATATTTTTGATGCAATCAAATTTTCAGAGGAGGAGGTAGCTAAGGCAGAGCTAGAGTATCTGGTTTCTAATACTGAGGAAGCAAGGGAAGGCTGGCACCATAAAAAAGCTATGCTTTTGAGTAAATACAGAATTGAAAGAAAGTTTTGGAAACAAAAAGCTCGTGTGAAGTGGCTTAAGGATGGGGATTGTAACTCACACTATTTTCACTCTCTTGTTAAAATTAGAAGAAGAAGACAAGTTATACGGATCCACCACAAGACATCTTAAGTCCAAACACCCGGTGGAGTATGCAAAATTAGGCGGCGGAACGGGGAAACAAACTCAAATATCGAGGTTTGCAAATAACCAACAAGCTTTTGGTAATTTCTCATACAATGATGCACAAAATTTGACTGGTATGGCTAACTTACTTGTTGAAGAAAATTTGCTTTAGTTGTTTTCTGAAAGTCTTTCTTTTCGTGATTATGCACAAACTTGTTTAAATCCGCAATATAGAGGTTATAGTCGCAAAACGGTTAAGAAAGAAATTTCAAGGCTTTATGGTGCGGAAAAGGTAAGGTTACAAAATTATTTTGCAAACTTTGATGGGTGTGTTACTGTATGTTTTGACATATGGGAGGATACTTATCATAATTTACATTATTTGGGTCTGACTGTACATTATATTGATAATGATTGGCATATGCATAAACATGTTCTTGTTTTCCGTGAATTTAATGATCGTCACACAGTTGAACATATTTATATTTTGATTGAGCGTATTTTAATTGAGTATAATTTAATTGATAAGGTGTTTGCTATTGGTTTTGATAATGCTACTAATAATACTGCTACTATTCCTAGATTGCGTGAATTGTGTGGTTCTACTTCTTTGATGGGTAGATTTTTTCATCAACGATGTGCATGTCATGTTCTAAATTTATGTTTGCAAGATGGTCTAAAAGCGTTGGGAGCATCTTTGGAGGTAGTCAAGGGGGGATTAGACGTATTTGGGGTAATGGACAACTTAGAAAAAATGGCATGATTATTTGATAGAAAGATGTGAGAAATATGTGGCTTTTCCTAAAGATTTATCTATTCGTTGGAATAGTACCTATAAGTTAATTGGAGTTCTTCTTAGATATAAACAACATTTTCCTGCTTTTATGAAACAATATGATAACTATATTATAAACTCGGCTGAGATCGACACCTGTGAAAAAATTTGTAATGCTTTGATATATTTTAATAAAGCAACTGAAATTTTTAGTCATGTTTATAAACCTATTTCAAACCAATTTATTCGTGAAACTGTTAATCTCGCCGGTGCTTTTTCAAATTTTGAGAATGCTGATTATGTGAGTTATTTTGCTAGTTTTATGAAGGAAAAGTTTTTAAAATATTATTCACATATTCCGCATATTTACGGTATTGCATTTGTTCTCGAACCTCGTTTTAGACTTGGTTCTTTAGAACAATGTTTGAATTATTATTATGTTGTTGTTTTTTGTCCATTGCCAATGTATGAGGACAACCCAATTGATCCGAAAAAAGAATACAACGAGGTTAGTGATATATTTTATGCATTATTTAATGAGTTTCATGCACAATATGGCAATGCGCCCCCTTCCCTCGACACAAACATCATCTAAAGGAAAATCAATTTTCAAATCTACATTTGCCAATCTTATTAAAAAAACGAAATCAACTCCCGCTACGCAACAAAACACAATTAATGAGATTTCTTTGTATTTAATATATGATGTTGATTTTGAAGAAGATGATGATTTTGACGTACTAAACTGGTGGAAGGGAAAAGAAAGAATGTTCCCGGTTTTAGCAAAGATGGCTAAGCAAATGCTATCAATGCCGATTTCAACAGTTGCCGTGGAACAAGAATTTATTTCGACCGGCAATGTCCTAACGCAATGTAGAACGAGGTTGAGCGCAGAATCTCTTGAGATGCTTATATACTACCACGATTGATTGAAAGCGGCCCGTAGAGCTCAAGAAATTAACATCACCCCATCCCAACACTTTATGGATGAATCTACAACCGATAGTGACTCTACCTATGTCGAAGATTCCGATTGAATGATTGATTAGTATTTCATGTTTTAATTTTACCTTCAATTCTCAATTGTAACTTGTAAACTTGTAGTTCATATTTCAAATAAATATACGTTAATTTTTTATATGTAGCATTTTTTACTAAATTCATAAAATTAATTAATTAATTTATATTCAAACTAAAACATACAAAAAAAATGAAATCAAAAGCCCCAAACAGCTATATAGCCACTTTGGTAATTTGGTTGTTTGAAATTTGAATCAATAGAGGCATAGAGCCGTTGGGGATGGGGGTGGGTGGGGGTGGGGACTGGGGGTACAAAAAATTCTATAAATACTCTTATTTTCTAACATTTTTATACACATCTTCTCCAAAATCCAATCTCTAATCTCCATTCTCCATCTTCATCTCCATCTATTGTAGAATTATTATATCTACAATTTTTAAGATGGAAAGTCAATATGCCGCTATACAGTATAATTTTGATAAGCAGAAGGACCCGAGGACCGGGATGTGGTACGCAACTTGCAAATGGTGCGGGAAAAATGTAGCTTTGGGGTTTCAGGCGAATATGGGATAGCAATGAAGCATATTAAGTCATATGACAAAGCTAAAGGATCGGGAGGTGCGGGAAGCTCCAATTGATTACAATTTACAAAATGTATTTCATATTATATGTTTCTCTTATTTTTCAAATGTAGTTCCTATTTCATTTCAAATAAATGCACTTGAAGTTTGTTTTTAATACTTGTATAAAACTATAAAATATAAATTATAAAAAAAACAGTTTTAACCGACCTAGCCCGGCCCGGCATGTGGCCCGAACCCGTGACCCGAGCGGGTGGCCCGGCCCGAACCGGACCCGTCCAAACCTCAGGCCGGTTCCGGGTCCATGAGTTACAAACCAGCTGCCTGACCGAGCCCGCCCCGCCCCGAGTCCATGCCTAGTTTGAGGTAGGTTTATAAACATGACTAAAAGTTTCAGTTGCATTATTAATATATACCAAAGCATTACAAATTTTTTCACAATTGTCGATCTCAACCGAGTTTATAATATAGTTATCATATTATTTCATAAAAGCAGAAAAATGTTGTTTATATCTAAGAAGAACTACAATTAACTTATAAGTAATATTCCAACGAATAGACACAAATCTTTAGGAAAAGCCACATATTTCTCACCTCTTTCTATCAAATAATCATGTCATTTTTTTCTAAGTTGACCATTACCCCAAATACGTTTAATCCGCCCCGCCCTACCCCCCCGGTTCGGGTCTACACCCGATCTCGGACCACCAGACCGGACCGGTCCCGGGCCCACACAGTAGCAGGCCGGGCCGGGTCACGAGCCGGGTGGCCCGAACCGAATCCACCCCTACATCTACACTTGGGTGTAATTAATTTAATTGTACACTAGGTTTTTTTAAAAAATGTGACCGACCTTTGTGTACTTAATTTACATTTTCTCTTCTAGTCCCTGTCCAACAAGAGTATCATGAAAAATAGAATTGGGAAAATTCTCGAAATAGAAGTAAAAAATATTTGGAAATTCCAAAATGGGGTTGCCTTGTTTTTATTCCCTAAATAGGAGTAATTAGTGTGAAATTTGGAAAGCACTGTCACGTTTAAAGTCTGGTACTTTTTTTAGGGAATAAAAACTTGATAGTCATGTTTTGGAATACACAAACTCGTTTAGTCCTATTTCAGGCAATTTCCAATAGAATTTGGATCAAATTAGAGAACTTGAACTGAAGTGATTCTAAAATAGCACTGGTCAAGAACAGAAAAGATCTATCGAGGACCTAGATGATTTGGATCAAATACACCTTTGTCTTGCAAACCTTTATTCAGAAAATTGAAGAATGACAGTATTACAAATTTAAACACCAAACGCCTATAGATTCTCTGTCAGCATCAATAAAGTAGCTCCTCAAAAACAGGATCCGCATTCTGTCCCCATTTTCCGAAGTACAAATCCAGAAGCTTCTCAGCTGGTGTAACACCTTAAAAGAAGTTTTTTGTAACTTATAACCCGACTCTAAAGGCAAACGGATGAAAGAGTTTGAAAGTACAGTAGGCTAGTCCAAAAGGAAATAGTATTATTTTTTTGAAATAAGTAAAAAAACAAAAACTGAAAGAATGAAAAACATCGCCATAATTTAGCAATGCCACCGCTAAAGATGTTTTAACTTGAACCAGTTATATGCATGTGCCTGCCGTTCATCCAACTTTATTAGGTTCACCGTGTTAACTTAAGCTCACTCTATCCAAAAATATCATTAATATACACCTCTATTTTTATTAATATACACACCTCGCTTAATATACAATTTTTATAATTAATTGCAACACTATCTAAAAAGGGTCTAGATTGGTGTTTATTGACTTAGAAAAGACATGATATAGTATCTTGGAAAGTCCTTTGATGAGACTTAACTAGAAAAGTCATATCACATAAGTATATCATGGATATGTATGAGACTTGCATTACAAGTGTTTGTACTAGTGTAGGGGGGACCGAAGAGTTCCCTATTACTATCGGAATGCACCAAGGATCGGCTTTGAGTCCTTCCTTATTTGTTATAGTCATGGATGAACTTACGAAGTCAATTCAAGAAAATACACTATGGTGCATGATGTTTGTCCACGATATTGTATTAATTGATGAGACACAATCCGGTCTTAAAGCAAAGTTGGAAGTATGACGACAAACATTGGAGACTAGGGATTTCAAACTGAGTCAAAGCAAGACTGAATATATGAAGTACAAGTTTGATGGAGGTAGAAGTAGTAGTAACCTTGATGGCAAGGAGATACCGGTGTGTGATATGTTTGTTACTTGGGCTCCATAATTCAAAAGGATTAAGAATTAAATAAAGATGTATCCCATATAATCAAATCAGGTGGATGAAATGAAAGAGCGCATCAGAATTTCTATGTGATTGAAGTATGATGACTAGACTGAAGGTAAATTTTATCGAACGATAATTAAGTATGCATTAATGTATAGCGTAGAGTGTTGGACAGTGAAACAATGACACATTCAAAAAATGGTTATGGCATAGATGTGTATGTTGCATTGGATGTGTCGACATAATAGAAAAGATTGCTTCAGAATGTGGTAATCAGACAAAAGGTGAGAGTAACACCTATAGAAAATAAGATGCAGGAGTCTCGAATTCGATGGTTTGGTTGTAGAAGACTGAAGACCTAATGATGCAACTCTTAGACGAGTTGAGAGGTCAGCAGAAAAGGTAGGGAGGAGAGAGAAGAAGACTCAAACAGATTGAATTCGAGCAACCAAAACTGATATGCTTCTTTTCTCTCTTTTATCTCTTCTCTCTCTCTCCTTTTATCTTCTTTATCTTTCTATGTTCTTATGTTTTTTTATCTTTTATCTTTCGTATGTTCTTTTATATTTCTTATGTTCTTATGTTATTTTTATTATATATTTATCTTTATCTTATTCATTTTATCTTACCTTATCTTTTTATTTTTCTTATCTTTCTTCTCTTTTTGATTCTAATATCATGGATCAATTCATGTTAGGTATCCTCAAAAATTTTTGGAAATAAGGCTTATTTTGTTGTTGGAACAATTTAACTTTTGTGTATACCGATACACATATGTATTAGTAGAGTTTATAGGAAGTTACTATTTTGAAAGAATACTTTCGGAGAACTTGTATATTCGAAAATATTTGTCATCAAATATACACAAATACACTTTCGGAGAATTTAAGCATTTATCTATTCGTAAAAAAAAATTAATGATGCCTACAAACAAACACACTATAATGGACAAATGATTTCAAAATATACACATAGGCAAATTCTCTCAAGATATTTGTATTTATGTATTTACCATAAACGAATACACTATAATGGACGGATGATTTCAAAAGTTACTAATGTGTACAAACACAAAAGCTAAAAAATATAATTTGGACGGTTGATTGTACCTAAAAGGAGACCCATTGCTATATTTTGGGCCGTAGTAGAAATATTTAAATGTCCTCGAGATAATGCTCAGTCATTGATTTATAAATCTTTGGTCTTATGAATTTATTAGTAAATAATGCAAGGCCAAGGGCTTTGCCTTTAGGACTTGTGAGATTTGCCACTTTTAGTCCTCCAACTATTCTCTTTTGATAGATGACTTCGAATTTTTCACTTTTAGTCATCTCATTGTTGTGACTGAGACTCTTTTGGTACTCGATTTTGAATTTGTCCAGTCTTTTTCCTATTGTAAAAAGTAACACTTATGACATCTCCAGTGGCTAAATCATAGTGGAAAGACTAAAAAGTGTCAATTTTATAAAAGTACAAGGACTGGAAATGGAAAGTTTCAGTCGTATACTAAAGTGTCTCCATCACAATCATCAAAGGCTAAAAAGTGAAAAAAATCAAAGTCGAGTATCAGTAATCTACGCAACACTCAGAGGACTTCAAGTGGCAAAAGCTCTAGGAACTGTTAACACAGCTAAAAAGTTCAAGAAGAATCTCAAAATAAAGTTTAGTATTTACCTGTATTGACAACGTCAGATACTTCATTTAGAAACCCTGTTTCCTTAAAGCCTCGTCTTTCCAGACCTCCCTGCACATAAGAACAAGCAGCGCGAGTTAATGAGGAGACTTGAGGCAAACAACTATATCACTGGTTTTCAACAATACGGCCCGTTATATATATAACACATGTTACTCACTTTTGCCAGCTTTACAACATCTTGGGCGACGTGCTTGAGCAAACCATCTCGGAATGGTGTATTCAACCCACTAGTAGGTACCTGTCAGCAAAACTTTCATTAGTCGGCGGTTATCTTCTAAATTATAATTAAATTATAATTCCTCTGTTCTTTTTTAGTTGCAACATTCTCATTTTCATGCTAGTCAATGCACAACTTTGACCATCATTATGTTTAATTCTTTATTAGTAAAAAATTAAATTCAGATTATGAAAATTTGTGATGAGACGAATTCAACAAATTTTTTCAAAAAAAAATCATACATTAATAAATAAAATATAGTCAAAGTAGACCATGTGAATCGTGTAAAAGTATCCATGTTGCAACTAAAAAGAAACAAGGATTGTAAAAGTATCCATGTGTAAATAATATGAAGATTATTGCAATTAATAATGCCTATAAAAGTGAAACCTTGTTCCTCAACATCTCTCTTTCTTCTGTGGTCCAATCTAATATCATGTCCATAATACTTTGCAAAGATATATCATCATACAATAAACCCACCTGATATTCAAACATCATTAATGGGGGAGCTTAATGATTATCTAAAAGAAATCTGCAAAAATATACTCAACTCATCCAAAAAAACTCTAATTTGTACAACAGATACAGGCTGTTTCAACTGTTTGTACCAGCGATCCAGAAAGGAGCCTAATTAAATGGTCCACAAGTTATCGGGCTGTTTCCGCTTAATTAGTTTTGTCTGATTAGTTGGTCCACAAGTTATCCAGTAATCCAGGTTGTTCTTTTTAATTTGCTTCTTTATCCCAAATGTTTCCTATTATTTAGATTTCCATATTTCAGTCAATCTCTTATTCCTGAGTTGTAATAGTAATACAGTATAGAACTCTTTCCTATTCTTATGTTAGGACTTAGGAAACCACCTTTTGCCATCGGGAGATCTTTTTCAACTCAAACAAATTGGATCCATGGAAGAATACATCAGTTTGTCCAGCAACGACTGGCACGTGTTGAAGGGTTACCCAGTCAATTCGAGGTCACACATTCATGGCGGGACTTTGTCCGACAATCTGTCTTGGACTTGAGTTTCAAGCTCCACGAAGCTTGGGCATTGTGATTTGCTTGGGTAGACAAATTGAATACAAACAATGAAATGTGTCACTGCTTTCTGATGCCCAACTTCAACCAAGACAGGACCTAATGGTGGTAACACCTCAAAACAGTTCCATGCATTCTCAGCATGTCCAATGATATACATGCTGATTTTAATATATATATATATATATATATATATATATATATATATATATATATATATATATTGTAATGGAAAGTGAATATTGAAACCAGTGATGTTAATAGCGTGCGATAGTGACGCTATAGCGGTGATGCGGAGCGGCGGACATGGCTGGCGCTACCAGACGACCTGTAGCGTGGCGTTAGGGTGTAGCGGATATAGCGGGGGCGCTATACTGGTAGATGCGGACGCTATAGCGGCACATATTTGGAGTTAAAGGTCTACTAGGGTATTCTGCGTATAAGGTAGAAGGGTAAATTAGTCTTTTAAAATTATATATTAACCACCTTAAAACCCTTGTACACATGCGTAGAAGTGCAAAACCCTTAAAAACAGCTCCACCTTAAAATACTCCGTATCTCTTCTTCTCTCCGCTCTGCGATGACATCTCCTTCAAGAACGAAGCATGCTGCACTCCTCTGTGCTTCTTTCCACTGGTAGAATATGCTGCTCTATCTTCTACAAAACATCTGTTGCACTCGTCTTCTTTCATTCTTCTACTTCTGCTGCAACATCTACAAGAACAACAACCTTTGCTACAGTCTTCTTTGCTTCTTCTTAGTGTTCATCTTGACCCTTCTCGGAAGTGGAACAGTGTGAATGATAAAGACAAGAAGACTGTTACTTGTGATTTTTGTGGCAAAACTACTACAGGAGGAATTACCAGAGCCAAAAGGCACCAAATGGATATAAGAGGAGATGTAGGACCTTAGGGGAAAACTCCAGCCGATGTTACAATTTTACTGAAAGAAGCATATGAGAAGAAAAAAGGGGAAAAAAGCATACATGGAGTTGCAAGAAGAAGAAGATGAAATGGAAGAACTCAATGAAATTCTGAATATCAGATGAGCAAAAAGGCCCCTAACATCAGCAACTGAGTCTCTCATCCTACTGCCAAAAAGGCCAAAGGGCCCTTAGACTTGCTTTACTATAAGAAACCAGAAAAAACAATAAGCTTGGGAAAAGTAAGAGGCAAACAAGCATAAATGATGTTTGTGACAAGGAAGTTAAGACCAGAACCATTCAATATATTGAAAGATTTCTATGCACAAATGGAATTGCTTTTAATGTTGTGAAATCAAGAAGGTTCAAATTGATGGTTGAGGCCATTGGATATTATGGTCCTCATTTAAAGCCCCCAAGCTACCATGAGGGTAGAGTTACACTTCTTAAAAAAGAACTGGAATACACTAAGGGACTCTTAAAGGGCCATGAAGAGGAACGTGCACAATATGGATGCTCAGCTATGTCCGATGAATGGATATATAGGAAAAATAGAACATTGATTAATTTTTTGGTGAACTGCCCAAGGGGGTCAATGTTTGTGAAGAGTGTTGATGGTTCTGAATACACAAAAACCGGTGAAAAATTATTTTAGCTTCTTGATCAATTTGTTGAGGAGATTGGGGAAGAAAATGTGGTGCAGGTGATCACCGGCAATGGAAGTAACAATGTTCTTGCGGGTAATATTTATTAGTTCAATATTACTTTATTTAAAATTTAAATTTCTGAATTTCAATTATGTGAGTATGTTGTCCTAGCTGAGTTTACTGATTTCAGGGTTAGGAAAATTGTTACAAGTGAAGAGAAAACATTTATGTTGCCCATTGTGTAGACTAATGCTTGAGGACATTGGGAAGCTGTCCACAGTTAAAACAACAATAAGAAAAGGTATTTGTGTAGTGGGATCATCTATAATCACACCATTGATCTCAACATGATGAGAAAGTTCACTAACAAGATGGAATTGCTTAGACGTGGTATTACAAGGTTTGCTATGTCATTCCTTACCTTGCAACGACTGCATACTCAAAAAGCAAAGCTTAGAAACATGTTTACTTTCGATGAATGGAAAGACTAATGTTTCCGAAGATCGAAATGCGAAGAGAGTTGTGGACATAATCCTTAATCCTACATTCTGGAATGATGCTGTTTACATTCTGAAAGTAATGGTCCCTCTTGTACACGTTCTAAAGCTAGCCAATCATGAGAAAACCCCCGCAATGGGATACATTTATGAAGCAATGGATCAAACCAAGAAAGCAATTTAGAATTCTTTTCAAGGAAATGAAAGGAGATACAAAAAAAAAATTTGAAATCATTTATTTACGATGGGAAACTCAACTCCATCATCCCTTGCATGCCATTGGTCATAATTTGAACCCTTCTTTCTACTACAAGAACCCAAGAATGGACTTGGACAATGAGGTTATGCAAGGGCTTTACGCGTGCAATGAGAGGCTTAGTGAAGATAAAGAAATCGAAGATAAAATGTCGTGTGAACTGAATGCTAATAAAAGAGCTGGAGATCTCTTTGGGCAGCTACTAGCAGTAAGGCAAAGAGAGACTCTTGGTCCCAGTAAGTTCAGGCATATGATTCTTTTTTTAATCACCTGCCCTAATAGAATGTTTAATGTTTACTTGCATTTAAAGATGAATGGTGGAGAAACTATGGATCACATACACCAAATCTTCAAAAGCTTGCCATAAAGATCTTAAGTTGGACATGTAACTCACCAGGATGTGAGCGCAATTGGAGTACATTTGAGCATGTATGTTATTATTACATGTTGTACAAGTTCAATCAACAAACATATAGTGTACTGGTTTCAAATTATTCTAATAAGCAGTCTGGAGTCTGGACTACCATTTTTTTAATATAAATTTGTAAAATAGATTCATTGAAAGAAGAGAAGTAGGCTTGAGCACCAAAGGTTGCAAGATTTGGTTTATAGTAAATATAACAAGATCTTAAGGAGCGGTTTGATAGCTCCAATTTGCCTAAATGATATTGATGGTAGCAATGAATGATTAGTGGGAGTAATGGGGGGAGATGGAGAGGATGCCAGGGATGATTTAGTTTCCGATGATGACACCAACTTTACTTGGAGAGATGTTGCTAATCTAACTGGTGTGTGTGAGCCCTAGATAAACACTAGGCAGGAAAGCATAACAAGTGAAAGGGCTACAAGCTCTAAAGGGAGGGGCCACTCGGTAAAAGTTATAGAACATGTTGAAGTGGCAGAGCAGACAAATGTGGAGGAAGAAATTTACGATTGCACTAGTAGTGAAAATGACAATGAAGATGAGATAAAGTTGGAAGAAGAAGAAGAAGTTGATGAGGAGTGGTGAATGATGAATTCAGAGAGGGCTTGCAAGTTGGATCTAAATTTTTTGACTGTTAATATATCAAGGTTTAAACTCTTAAACCAGAACCTTGCTTTTGATTCAATGTTTTGACAAAAGATGTTTTAATCATTAATAGCATCTTATGTTTTGCTCATGAAACTAAAGAGTATTTCTAAGTAATTTAGGATTTATAAATGTTAAGATGATTGCGACCTTCATTGGCATATATCATACTTTTTTAATTCAAAATGTGTATGTAATGTATTCTATATGCTCCCAGTAGTTACTTATCTATTACTCCCTCAGTCCCAATTTGTAAGATACATTTCCTATTCACTTGATCAACATAAATCACTCTTAATCTTTTACTTTATGTATCAAAATTTTATGAAATTTGAATTATTTTTTGCAGGCTTTGTAGCGGTTTTCATGTAGTTTCGGAATATGTAAATTTTATTTTTTAAAACTAATTTGAGTGTTTACAGAGATCAATTTGTTTTATCGTCGATCAAACATCGTAAAGTATCTTACAAATTGGGACGGAGGATGTATATTTAAAAGTAGTCTAAATAGCGGTCATCCCACTATCCGCTATACCGCTATAGCGTTTTTTGGGCTGGCCGCTACGCTCCGCTCTCTGGGATTGACAATACTGTACTTTAAGCTTTGGCTTTTCAGTATTTGTCTTTATGTTCCTATTTTGCGTTCCGAAGAGTAAAAACCAGTGGTAGAAGCAACACAGGGCTTGGAATTCCTTCATCGTTGAGAAAATCCTTGTTTGATTGGATGATACTTTGGGAGTGAGCCCAACGTTTAGCCAATAGTGGATAATGCAAAACCATTTTTTACCTTGGGAGATAATTGACTGCAACTGTTTTAAAATATATGTTTAATATGTAGTACTATATGTATCTATATACTTGCTCCGTTCAGATAGAAATGACACATGGATCCAGGCACGGAAATTAAGAATTTAGACTTGAATTCCTTTTTTCCAGTTTTACCCTCTCTAATACTCGAGATAATAAGCTATGTGTTAGCCACCATTTGCTTTTACTACAGTAAATGTTCTACAGAGAAATCAAATTTGGCTGTAAATGGTTTTTTATACATTTCTAGGTGAGTCCTACGTAGCAATTCGTGGCCACCATTGGGAGCGTTAGATAGGTTCTCCATTGTGATGGAATAAGAAAAATCAAGAGAGAAATCAAATCTGGAGCGGACTTCTCCGTAAGCTTCATTAATTCCAATCATCGGAAAACTTCTTCTACTAAAACATCCCTACGATATTCATTTTTTGCCATGACTGCCTGCAGCCTGCTCACAATTTTTTGCAAAATAAACTGCCCAAAAAAGATGGTGGGAAAAAATTAGCAGCTAAGCTACTTCTTCAACTTGACTAAGTCTCCACTTGTGGGAAAAGTTTACAGATGAAAAATAAATAAAACATGAAATTGAGGAGGGGAGATAAAAGAAGAGGAATGATGTGTGTAGATTGCAGAGAGATAAGTGTCGATTAAAGAAGCTGTATGGAGGCGTAGGTGGAAGAGAGAGATGGATCTTCCAAGGAGTGAGAAGGGAGATCGGTGGAGTGACGGGGAGGGGAGAGAAAAAGTAGAAATGTAGAAAAAGTGGGTTCATATTGAGCAAGGGTATTAAAGACCTTACACTTATTTTGTTTACTAAAATTGGAAATGTTGCATTTAATTTGAAACTGCCAAAAAAGGTAAGTGTTGCATTTAAAAAAGAACAGAGGAAGTATCATATTGGTTAAATTTATTAATTCATGAAAAACAATGTTTAAAATAATTATGAGGGTGTTTAAAACTCCTTCAGGGAATAGAAATAGATATTTGAGTGTTTGGATGAAGGTGCATAAGTACTTTTGCGTGCTCTAGATTGCCCCTAGATGAAGTGTTTTAGAAGCTGAGGAAGACCAGTTTCCGAAAAACTGATTTTACTTCTACTTTTAAAAAAGAAGTTGAAGCAAAATCAATTCAAAACACCTTACTTGCGTTAATACATTTTTATTTTTTAAAATCATAAAAACCAGTTTAAGTAATTCTACTAATTAAATTAATAAAAAATTAATTGATGTCCTTAAAAGTCATTTAAGGGGTTATCAGCTAATTGTAAACAGACATTTAACCAAAGAGTTAATCCTGTCACTTAGTCAAAACAACCAACATAATCCATTGTCATCCTAAAACAATCAGCCAACAGCGATTTCAAATTGTCAAACACAGAGAGAACCTTACACCATCAATAAATAACATGTACAAAATTTCTGCAACTAGGCATGTTAACCGCTAGAGGCGCCAGAGGCGGACGCCTCCCAGAACCGCATAAAGCGGCAAAAAGCGAGGGATAGGGCGCGCAACGGGTATCTATTGCACCTGGGACTAATCGATGTGATATCCCCATCGCCTAGTAGCGCGAGTGCCTTTGCGTGCCTCATGCAAACTATTTAAAACTAAGATGGTGAATGGTGATAATGATTTACAACAACATACCCAAAAAGCAGGCAATGCACATAACCTTCTCCAAGGTCCACCATCAGCACCTCTCATTTCCAAGTACCTTTTGAGCCTGACCTGAAAGTAAATGAGCAAGTAAGGGACTATAATGAATCCGCTATAAGCATATGCTTAAAATGGATTGTACCTCAGGAAATATTGTTGTGAGATGATTCTCCCAATCATTGAGTGTGGGATATTCTCCAGGAATAGGCTGCAGTTTCCCTGCCATAAAATCCTGCAAATCCATTCGTGTTGGTTACAGAGTAACATTGGAGAGGAAAGGACAATTGGCTACCCCGTGATGAAACCATAAAAAAAAGGATTACCCTGAAGGACATTCCAGTACAATCAATATAATTCTTTTTCCGATACACAAAATACATAGGGACATCAAGTGCATAGTCTACATACTGCTCAAACCTGTACCAATAAAAACAGACACTGAAAATAGTTAGTAATGAGCTCGTTCCACAAAATATGCATTATGTTTTTTAAAGGAGTTTAAGAAAGAAGTTTTCAGAATGAACTTGATAATTATTCCATTGATCTATGGTGGTATTTATACAATCAGGGAGCTAATCTATAAGGAAATATTCCAACATAATTACTGTAATAAATACAAATATATTTTCCTTAATTAGAATGTTATAATGGTAGAGAATATTTTATTTCCTTTGGGAAGGATCCTGGGATATGTTTCCTTCCATATGCCCCCTCAAGCCAGGTATTCGGTTACTCCCAAGAATCCTGAGCTTGTCTTTGAGAAGAGTAAAACACTGCCGTGGAAGGGGTTTTGTAAGAGCATCAGCCAGTTGAGCATGAGAAGGAATGTGAATAACATGGAGAAGTCCCCGTTGAACTCGTTGACGAACAAAATGAAAGTCGATCACCACATGTTTCATACGGGAGTGAAAGATAGGATTTGACAAAGAAGTAGTGGCGCCTTTGTTGTCACACAAAAGAACTGGTGGAGATGTCAGTGGATGCCGTAATTCATGAAGAAGAGACCGAATCCATAGAGCTTCAGAGGAAGCAGTGGACAATGCGCGATACTCTGCTTCTGTGGAGGATTTAGCAATGGTGCGTTGCTTGATGGATTTCCAAGAAATGAGGGACTCACCAAGAAAAATTGCATAAGCACTAGTAGAAGATCTGTCATCCGGATTGCCAGCCTAGTCTGCGTCAGCATAAGCACGAAGAGTGAAGATACCGCAGTGAAGATCATGAGTAGCAGTCCCGTGAAGATACCGCAGGAGGCATTTGAGGAGCTGCCTGTGATTGACTATGGGTTTGTGCATAAACTGAGCAAGTTTATTAATGGCGAAAGCGGCATCTGGTCTCGTAAGGTTCCAATACTGAAGTGAGCCAATGACCTGAGTACCTGACTATAACGAGTGACGTCACATAATCCCGAGCTATCAAATAAGCTCAATGAAGGTGATGAAGCTAAGGGTGTGGCCACAGGATTAGCTTCATGCATTTTCATGATGTGCAATAGATCAGTGATGTATTTGTATTTATCAAGAAAGATGTCATCTCGTGTAGGGGTGAGGGGTGACCTGGATATGAACCAGAGCAGGAGTTGAGCCAATAACAATAATGTGATCCACATACACTAGAACATAGATGTAAGATGGATGAGATGAGAATATGAATAGACTGGCATCTGAAACAGATTGATGAAAACCCAGAGAAAGGAGAAAGCCATTAAGAGATTGATACCACACACAGGGTGCCTGTTTGAGACCATAAATTGATTTGCGAAGACGACACACATGGCAAGACCCATCATTGAAACCAGGGGGTTGCTTCATGTAAACTTCTTCTTGAAGAGAGCCATGTAGGAAGGCATTGTTGACATCCAATTGATTAACGGGCCAGTTGTGAAACAAAGCAATGGTTAAAACCACTCTAATGGTGAAAGGTTTGATTGCCGGATTAAAGGTGTCAAAATAATCAATCTCTAGGTGTTGAACTGTTGATGAAAACATTTAGCCACCAATCGAGCTTTGCAGCGATCCAAATCATCTGCTTTATATTTTAGAGTATATACCCATTTACAACTCACAATATTTTGGCCAGAAGTAGTAGGGACAAGATCCCAAGTACCTTGTTGAACCAAGGCATCAAATTCCACTGACATAGTTTCTTGCCATTCTGGTACCTGTAAAGCTTGAGAAGCACAAGTGGGGATAACATGATGATGTAAAGAGGATTGTGTAATAATGTTAGCTTGTTTTACGAGGTCTAAGAGTCATTGGATGAGTCCGTTTGGGTAGTGAATCGGTGTGTGTCTAAGGATGGTGAGATGGGAGGTGGTTCACTGGTGGTGGTGGTATGGGTAAGAGGCTCTTGGGGAAGAGATGATGTACTAGGAGGTTGGTGTTTGGATCGACGTTGGTAGGTGATAAAAGTAGGAGGGTTAGGCTTAGGGGAGGGTGGGTGAGTTGCGGATAGTAGAGGAGGAAGAGTATTAAGTGACTCAACGGGAGAAGCTTGTTGACCCGGGGTATGAGTAACAGGAGACACCACCGTCACCGTAGTACCTGAAGCGGGAAGAAGGGAAATAGGTGGCTTAAGCCAGATGTCAATTTCTGAGGATACGTTGGGGATTAGTTTGGTGGTGTGAGAGAAAGGGAAGACTGACTCATCAAACACAACGTGTCGTCTAATGAAGATACAGTTAGTGGTTGGATCAAGGCAACAGTAAGCACTTTGTTGGTCATAATAACCTAAGAAAACGTATGATTTAGACCGGGGTTCTAACTTATGTGTTGTGTAAGGTCGTAGCCATGGGAAACACCGACATCCAAAGATGGCAAGTTTGGTATAACTAGGAGGACAATGAAAGAGTTTTTCATATAGCGTGCAAAAATTTAGAGATGTTGCAGGTTGTCTATTGATTAGATAATATGCGGTAAGAAAGACATATACTTAAGCAGAACGGAGGCATGGTGGAGGAAGGTGATCCCCGTTTCCACAATATGCCGATGTCGCAGTTCAACGAACCCATTGTGTTCTGGAGTATATGGTGGGGTGAGTAGATGAGATATACCACATGTGGGAAGGTATTTTCCAAGAGTAATGTACTCACCCCCTCCATCTGAATAAACCGTATTAATTTTTCTTTGGAAAATGGTTTCCACAATTTTTTTAAATTTTTAAAAAACTGAAGTGACTTCAGAATTATGAGTGAGAGTATAAAACCAAATATATTTGGTAAAATGATCGACAAAAATAACATAATAACGAAAGCCATCAATGGAATGAATGTGAGAAGGGCCCCAAACATCGGTATAAATGAGATCAAGGGGGGGGCCTGTGCTAGAAAGAGAAGACTTTGCAAAGGGTAATTTATGACTTTTATTACTTGCACGACACACATAAAGAAGTATTCTTGATAATATGCTTAGATGAAATACCTAAGGATGAAAGAATTGTTTGAGTAATAGGAAAAGCAAGGTGTCTTAAACGACAATGCCAATTATTAACAGAAAAGTTCCTAGCAACATTAACAGATGGAGGTGGTGGAGTGGGCACTTCAGGAAGGTTGTAGACATCACCGTTATTCATACCCCGTAACAAAATTGCTCCCGTTTGTCGGTCCTTAACAAGACAAAAAGAAGGATGAAAATCAATTAGTACATCATTATCACGACATAATTTAGCTACATAAATTAAATTGGTATGAATAGACGGAACAAAGAGGGTATCAGGTAAAGAGAGTGAAGAGTCATATCCCCAACTTGTGCAATTGCAAGACCTTTACCATTACCAATAATGAGAGAATCTGTGCCAGTGTAGTCGGATGTCAAGCTCAAGTTATTCAAATTATTGGTGACATGGTTGGTTACACCGGAGTCAAACAACCACCCATTTCTGTTTGTTGTGGCGGTATTAGCCTGAGGATGGTAGGCTTGCTGTGCAAAACAGTGCCAACAATTGAGAGCAACATGATTCAGCTTACCACAAATTTGGCATGTAGTATTACCAAAATTGTTACCCCCGAAACTGTTGCATCCACCCATGTTGTTTTGGCTTCCCCAAAAAGTATTGACTCCATGTTGGGTCGGGTTGACTGAATTATTGGGTCGATGGGTCCCCGCCTGATTCCGATTATGGGTGCGATTTTGATTATAAGTCCGGCCTGCTGGCACTTGAATTGTACTTGGGCCAGGGCCTAATATAGAGGGGCTTTCTGGAGTACTGGTCGCCCGTCGAGTCAAAAGTCCAAGTGGAGTGCTCTCTGCAAGCGCCGTATTGGCAGTAACAATGGAAGAAGTGTTGATAAATTCTTTCCTTTGAGGTTTTTCTTCAAAACCCACGAGCAGTCCATACACGGTCTCAAATCTAGCAGCGCCTAGTGTTCGGATGGAGTTCCCTATCGATTCAAATTCTGAACGGAGTCTCCCCAGTATCTGGAGAAGAAAATCTCCGTCATCCACTGGTCTTCCTGCCCGGGCCAATTCGTTCGCCAGAGTTTTGAGATGATGTAGATTTTCACCGACGGGCTGAGACCCCTTTTTCGTATGACGAAACCGATCTTTAAGGTTTCAGAATGTAGAGGCAGACAGAGTTCCATAAAGACGTTCCAATGTTTTCCAAACAGCAGCAGAGGTCCGAGAAGAGCTAATCAATGGTTTGCAAGCCGTGCTCAAGGAAGAGATGAGTGCCTGGCGTAGAAGACGATCATGTCTGGTCCACAAGAGGTGACTGATAGTGTCACTTGTTGGCGGTGGGGTAGCAACCTCTTCGATATATTGATTCAAGTGTGAACCGAACAGAAGATCAAGGACTTGGTCTTGCCAAATCAGGTAATTCGACCCATCTAATTTTTTGGGAATATGTTAGGGTTGAGCATGATTAGTCCATCGGGTGTAAAGGTGTTGTTGACAGAGGTAGGGATGGTGTTTGGGGTGGGTATGGATTGGTTGGTGAGAGGGTTTTCCCAGTCTTCATGTTCTTGGGAGCCCTCTAGACGTGTGGCTATGTTTCCGCCACCAGCCATGGAGGAGGGGCTGGTAAAAGCTCTACGGCTCTGATACCATAAAGGAGTTTAAGAAAGAAGAAGTTTTCAGAATGAACTTGATAATTATTCCATTGATATGGTGGTATTTATACAATCAGGGAGCTATTCTATAAGGAAATATTCTAACATGATTATTGTAATAAATACAAATATATTTTCCTTAATTAGAATGTTATAATGGTAGAGAATATTTTATTTCCTTTCGGAAGGATTGTAGGATATGTTTCCTTCTATATTTTTGTGGACCCAAAATAAGAACATTTTCAAAGTCAATCTACTTATGAACATCAATTTAATATATAACCATCAACCCAATCCTACAAAAAGAAAGTAGCAAAGGTATTTCATAATGGAGTTAAATAATGATGAACCCCTACTTTTAGTAAAATATATTACTCACATGTGCTATGCTGAGCTCCACTAACAAGATAAGATCAATGCTTACCCGAATGAATCATCAAAGACAAAGGGGAGCATGCCAGTACGATTGATATCTGTGTCAGTCCAGATGTGGCTGGTAAAACAAAAAAATGTGCCAAATTACAAATTTATTATTGCGCACTCCATATTTTTCTCATGAATCATCATCATTCAAAACTGACAGCTACTAACCTTCTCATACTGAGATAACCATTTGGTTTTCCTTCAGTAAAAGGTGAATTTGCAAACAATGCTGTAGCAATCTGTTGCATAATATAGTTAGCAAATTTAGAACAAAATAAACTCCCTATTAAAGAACTTGTCCAGAAAATACTTTCAGCAAAAACAGAAATGAATTTAAGATTTCTAACAGGCTGCAACGAAAGACCAGCACGGAACTTGTTTATCATGTCAGCTTCAGAGCTGAAGTCTAAATTCACCTGACACAAAAACAACTGTGTAATTCATGCTTGCAATTCACTGCATGCATAAAATATGATGTGCTTGCACACAACAAAAAGGTGGGTAAAATTGTAAACTAGCATTGCGTGCACAATACAAAAGATACCCAAGAGAGAGGTATAGAGTCCAGTAGTTCACATACTTGAACTGTACAGGTTCTAAACATCATATCATGTCCAAGTGAGCCAACTTTCGGCATATAGTTTCTCATGATCTCATATCTCCCCTAAAAAAGAAACATAAGTATTAATGTATGCAGAAGCTAATTAACACTTGTAGCAGAACAACAAGATGAGCAAAATGGTACATTCGGCAAATTGTGTTGTAATTTCTAAGAGTAATGAATTTTCCAACAATAAAACAAATTGATTTTTTTGATATTACTTGAATAGATTATAAGCATAATGACATAATATACTACCTTTGGCATTATTGGTATGTCTTTTAGCCCCCATTTTGGTTGGAAACCAATTCCAAGAAATCCAATTCCCATTTCCTCTGCAACAGCCTTTACCTGTGCCATTATCAGAATTATAATAATCAAGTGCCAATGTTCAATATTGTAAAACTCGAAGCGCAAAGTAGGCCAAGCAGTAGGACCTAGTGCCAAGGAATGGATCAATCAGAACTTAGTGGGATCAAACTAACAACAGAAGCAGCCAAGGACAGCTTAGCACCTCAGTGGTATCTGAAGTGGACAAGTCTCCTGTTATGGAGGCCATGGACAGCTTAGCACCTCAGTAAAGATCTGATGTGGACGCTAAAGGGCCAATGAAGACTTGTTATTATTAGGTATTTAGGTATTATTATTATTATTATTATCTAGTCTAGGTTTAAAAGGCTAGTTCGGGTATCGAGATCTTCCCGATAGTAATTGCCTTATATAGGAGTAATTTTAAACATAATTGCACAAATAGGAGTAAACCGAAATCTTCCCTAAATAGAACTAAACATTAATTTTCTACCTTTAGTACCCCTAATCTAATAAATCAATATAATTATTTGCCCTCATTAGTTCCCTTGCATAACCGGGTAAGTCTGTTGATGACGACCGGCGGCGCAAACTGGTGGTGAATCTGTTTTGAAAATTTCCAGCAGTTTCCGGCAGCGGAAACGGCGGAAGTGGCTAGGGGTTGGGCGCTCCAAAAGGCTACAAGGGTAGGGGAGAGCGAACCCGACCAGATATATCCGAAATTGCTTTTTGGGTCTGATAACCCGACCCGAATTACCCAAACCCGATCTGACTCTTGCAGTCTGGGAGTTAAGCGGGTCGCGGGTAGGGTTACCAATTACGCTACCCGACCCGCCCGACCACCCGAAATTACTAATGGTATTTATACTCCTTATATACCTAATTCTTCAGCGTGTGATTTGTAATATTTTTTGTGATTTACATGTTTTGTGAACTATGTAATCACTAGTCACTAATTTGTACTTCATAATTCGTACACATGTAATTATATTTTCTGTAATGTTTGATCCGTAATATGTAATCTTTATGTAATAATTTGTTTATTGAACCCGAAATCCGATCTGAACCCGATCCCTACCCGAAATAATTACAATTTTACCCATCTGAATATACATAGGATCGGATGTCCAGCTTGCCCATCTGAAACCCGATAGGGTCTTGTTTTTCCCAACCCGACCGACTCGAACCCGCCCGATGCTCCCCCCTATACAAGGGTATACTTATCCAAACTCCAAACACACATAATTAGTCCTGTTTAGGGAATTTAAAACATTGTATTCCTATTTTTTAATTAAACCCATGTTTTATTCCTATTTGGGTAATTCACTCAAAACTATAAACATGATATTAATAAACATAATATAATGATGTGGTGTAACTAGTGTTGTCAATCCCTAATAGTGGAGTGGAGCAGCCATCCCTGAAAACGCTATAGTGGTATAGTGTATATCGGGCTGACCGTTATTCAAAGAATATATATGCAAAATACATATTAGATGTATGTAATATATATAAGTTTATGTATACACATCAAATTAAAAAACACGTGATACATGTTATTGAAAGTAATAAACATCTTGGCATTCATAAATCCTAAATTACCGATCGTTACTCCATAGTTTCGTGAGCAAAACATATGATGTTATTAATAATTAAAACAGCTTCAGTCTAAACAATAAACAAAAGATGCTACTCAGAAGAAGCAAAGAAGAGGAGTGCAGCAAAAGTTGTTCTCGTAGAGGATGAAGCAGGAGAAGATACTACTCAAAAGAAGCAAAGATGAATGTCGCACATGTCGTTCTTGTAAAAGATGACGAGGTCGCTCTTGAATAAGAGAATTGGATACTTGTCAATGTATGAGGTCTGAGTCACAAAAGGTAGCGCATAGAACGGTTTTACGTTGATTACTACTCCCTCCGTCCCTTAAAACTTTGTCATCTTTCCTTTTTGGGACGTCCCAAAAAACTTTGCCACTTTCCCTTTTAATCAATTATTTTGTGGTTTCTGTTATTTCTCTCTCCTCTGCACAAACCTCAACCACACAGTTTTTACTTTATTATTCTACGTGCCGGTCAACTTTGGCAAAGTTTTAAGGGACGGATGTAGTATTTATTTTAAAAGTTTACTTCACTTTTAATACCTAAACTTACCCCCAAAAACCCTCACCGTAGAACAGACAAGATAGAAAAGCACCATTACAGTGTCCACTACACTCACTATAGTGTCCACTATACTCGCTTTAGCGTCCGCTACTCCAGCTAAAGACAAACGCAACGCTTCAGGTGTTCTTGTAGTGCCCACCTTGCTTCGCTACGCCGCTAGAGGTCATTATTGATAACATTGGGCGAAACTAGATAATTTTATTACAATAGGTCGATGCAAAGAGGAGATCAAATAAGGAAGAAACGCAGGAGGTCAACACGATGCAGCCCTACTGGTCGACGCAAAACCAAGTTGACTAGATGCAGCTCTATTGGTCGACGCAGAAAAAGGTTGAATCGCGACCCAGGAGCACTTTAGCGATTTTACGGTTCCGTTGTGCAATCCAGACGATCTTGTTTATTTTATGGTTTTCAGTGAAACGGGATCACAGAAGGTAGTAAGGCTCGTATAATCATACGATACTACGACTGAGATCGGGACTTTGACTACCATGAGTATAAGGTATATATCATACATATGCTTAAATAACTTTATAATAAAGTACAAGTGTACAACAAATTGTGTTTAGTAACTATTCAAAACTATTTCTTCAAATTAAGTGAAATCTTTGATGAAAAGTGGAACAACCAATTGCATATGCATTTAAATGTTGTGAGGCATAATCTTAATCATGTTTTACATTTCTAAATGACCAGTTGTATGAGTGCTTCGAGAAGCTAGTTGGAAACTATATGGGTAGTTTAGAGTCAATTTGTTGCACAAGGACTTAAAACCAAATCACAAGCCCAATGTTGGAATCACGTGCTGATGAGCACCCAAAGCAATAATAGTTTGTCATAAGGGTGTTGAGTTTGACATGTATTTCATCTAGTTTGTCGGATGGTTCACGCCAGAAAAGGAAATCACTTCGGCCAAAAACGATGAATGATGTTATCTTTGTAATGGTTAATGCATGATTCAATATCAATATGCAAAAGAGAAATGAAAATGATTATAGCATCGATGATCTTGCTTCTTATGATGAGTGGGTTGTAGAAGACAATGTTGAAAGTGTTGGCATGGACGGCCAGAAACGATGATTGTTGTTATCTTTGTAATGGTTAATTCATGATTCAATATCAATATGCAAAAGAGAAATGAAAATGATTATAGCATCGATGATCTTGCTTCTTATGTTGAGTGGGTTGTGGATGACAATGTTGAAAGTGTTGGCATGGATGCTCCAAATGATGGCCAAGTTGAAGTTGGAGAAAATACTCAGAGGAGCAGTGGTTTTGGTTCGTTAGTCATGCATCAACGGATGATTTGGATGGTCCACCCATTGAAGATCAAGATACCATGACAGATTATGAATCCAATTTACACGATTATGTTTGGCGATGAGACCTTAATATTTTTAATATTTTGCAAAATTTATTTGCACTTATTTATATTTGGTTGTTTAATTATTTTATTTACGAATAATGACTTGATGTGATTTAAGTTATAATGAATGAATTATATGAATTTCAACTTCAAATTAAGCTAATCGTATAGGTTTTTAAAAATTTTGCATGGTAGTTTTAATTCTAGGATCTTACAATCTGAGTTACGATCCAACAAGCACATTAGGCATTACAACAAAGAATAGCAATTACATAAAAACATTGTACTCCATGTGTAATATATTTTTACTTTTCAAGCACATTATTATGTTGTCTTATATTGATGGAGGAAATGGTACTTTGCACTTTGAATATGACATCAAACCAACTACTCTGTATAACGAAATGGCATTTTGGGATACCTGGTAAAGATGTGAATTAACTTCTGCACAAGTTTGATGCAGAGTTTCAAGTGGTGCACCACTAAGCTCAAATTGACCACCAGGCTCCAGTGATATACTCTGCTTTCCCTGCAAGTACAAAATATTGAATCATGTGGTTCACCAGAATGTAAAACTATTAAAAAGCAATAAGAATTTTACTTAAGTTAAAAAGAAATTCATATTTGAACGTGAAAATTAAACTGACATGCTTAACTTTTACTGGCTAATTGCTGGTTATGTGACAAAAAACCAATTGAACTCGGTACTTTGTAATTAGTTTTAAAAGGCCTGAACTTCAAAGTTTAAAATATGGAAATCCAGAATTTCAAGAATACAACTCAAATATCAAAATACCTGTTTTAGTCCAATTATTTTGTCAGCCTCCATTACTTTATCCCAATCAAACCTCTCAGCAATGCTGTTAAGCAACTCGGCTATTTGTTCATACTTCATGGGTAGCAGAGTATCATTCTCAAAACCAAACTTTTCATGCTCTGTGCCTATTCTGTAGAGCCAAGAGTAACAAAGGAGTGAGGTCATTTGGATACAAAAAGGTAAATTTAGGCTAAAATGCTACTTCATGTGACCCCAGCAATCTCATGCACTTCCCGATACAATTCAAATCAAGGTTGTCAAACTCTAGATCCTAGCACAGATCAACGGAGATGGGTAGACCGGTAGAATGTATCTTCTGGATCATAAGTAGGATAGTAAGATCCTAGGATCAAAGCTACATTATAATAATTACAATTATAAAATATACACAACTATATAATAATTAAAATTTAAAATTATATTAATTTGCCCATAACAACTAATAATTATCTAATTAACTAACAACATAATGTCAAGGCTATAAAACAAAAGACGTTATGAGTTCTTAGAAGTTAGAACAATTGAGAAACATTTAAACCCAATAATGTCATCATCTTTGAACAAAGTCGTGAGGGCTAAATTGATCCTCATCATGTTATCTTCATCTTTGATGGGAGGAATATTCAAATTTTCACTTGATCCACCACCAAAACCACCACTGTTTTGAGCATTTTTCGTAACTTCAAGTATGTGTTTGTCATCATCATGAGCTTCCTAAGTTAACCCCTTCATCATTGTCATAACAATCCACTCATCATCATAAGCAAGATCATCAATGCTAAAACAAATTGAGCTAAAAAAATAGTTATAATTTTTTTATCATATCTGGCAACTTAATTAGACGGGATATGATTCATTTACTGAGAAGGCAATCCACCTACAACCTATTAGATAGTTTAGAACTACCTGACAAGGCTACAAGATAAAAAAAACAAGGTAACCAAAACCAGATCAGTTTTGCATAATCTATCAATCCTCAGATCACGCCATAATGAGTTCAGTTCTTCATGGCTTCATGCACATGACGATGATTTATATTTCGATGTTGCTACATATCCTACAATCATTTTGATTAATGGGGAGAATTGAGCCACAGAAACCCTTACAGAATAGGCACGTGCTCTTATTCCAGTAGACAGTATAATCTCCTCCTTGTCGAGTTCATTAACACTTGCTACAAATTGTGTCTTTATGGAGTGGGTGTTTCTTCTAAAAATCTTCCAGAACCGATCAATACAATAAGTTGTGCAAAGTGTCCAATACAAATTCTTCCTTTTCTAAATCAACAAATCTCTAGCGGGAATAATTTGATGCATCGCATATTATGATTTGAACAATGTTTTGTTCCACAATCTCCTTAACAACATTGTTCAACATCTCTAATATTTATACACTTAGATATGCTAGATGCATCAACAGAACTCAAAAAAATGAACCTTAAGGATTATTCAACAACAAATTTACTAATTCCTTTTTCATTGAGCTCGTCCGTCCATGTGTCCACCATTAGTGCATCTTGTGTTCATCCACAAGAATTTGGCTCCACTATTCCAGTTGTCTCTTCAACTTACTTCTTCAAATACTTCACCTTTATCTCATGATACGATAGTGGAATCCACGACCATGTTGGCAACTAGTTCAAATATCTTATTTATGGGATAGCATTTTTAAAAATAAGGCAATTGTCAAGCATGCTTCTTTCCCCAATTTCTTGAAAAGATTATTCATAGATGTTTGATTGCTCATTCCCCTTCCCTTGAAGAGATCAGCTGAATTGTCCATCTCATCATCTCTTTCTCTTTCTTGGGATCACCTTGTGTTATCATCCATATTGAATCCCTTTATTAGTTGATCTACTTTGGCAGGTGCGAATAGAAACCCTGCAATTTTCTGGTGCTTCAAACAATAAAAACCTCCCATTAAAACCTCTGACGTTGCTTTGTTTGTTCTAATGTTTTCTTTCTTGACACACCATGCGCCCATGCAACATCCATATGCTGCCCAGCAGACTTATTAATGCATGCACTCAACCTAGAAGCCGTTTTGGACCGCGGGTACCCAAAGAAATTGTATGGATATAAATGCATGTGGATGGTGAGCACAAAATTTAATAACTGGGCAGGAGGATCAAGATATGCTAGAAAGTAGGAAGTGTATAAGATATGCTCAAAAATATCTGGATTTGAGTAACTAATATCCGAGTAGATTACTGGGAAAAATATACTAGGAGATAGACTGCTGCAGAGATACGCTCATAAAGCAATTAAAGATGTGAACAAGAGTTGGAATTTTATACTAACTAGGATTCAAAGTTCAAACAATCAAACCAGTCATTGCATCTTTATAGTTTTCTTTGCACCTTAGGAGTTCCTTCACGCTCTCAGAGTCAGCTGACGACGCTTTCGAAGTTTCTTTTTATACCAACAAACTTACAATCATGCCATATCTTATGATCTTAATTATGATCCAAATCGCCCAAGCACACCCTACTACAGGATTGAACAATCTTATGAGTTGACTTGCGATAGTAACAACAGCGACTCAAAACCATCCGCACATGTACTCCAACTATTAACATAAAGCAGGAACTATGGTTTTAGATGCTGAACAACTTACAGAACCAACTAGATGACTAGAATATCATATACACTTGGGAAATAAGTGAAATAACTACGGCATAGATATGGTGAAGAAACATTTTCTCTTTTTGTCCAAAAATTAGCGTCATAAATTCTTATTTTATCTGCCCTATGATAAATTCATCTTCCCTCTTAGGGCAAAGAATATGTGATCCATATTGCTTCTCTCCCCTCTGGATAACTTTCAACTATACAATTTTTCCTTTTCTTAATTCGCGCTGTAAGTTCAAACCAGAGATAATAATTGTAAGGAAAAAGTATATGTCGAGTAACCAGCACCACAACTAAGCATATTCTACATTTACAGATGGGTGAGTGGGAGGGGGTGGAAAGAAGAATTTCATATATTCATGTACCAAAGAAAGCTAAAAGGCGAACCTCCAGTTTTCCTTTGGCTTGCAGCCGGAAGCAAGGTATCCAACAAGGTCTGCTTTCGTTAACGGCTCGGAGGAAGTAGCAAGATCGTCTGTAGGGGGACTTGCAGCAACAATCAACTTGTATTCTCTCCTAGATCCTACTCTGGGACAATCCAAACGCACCCCTTGCTTTATACTTGAAGAATTCCATGAAAATGAACAGAACCCAAATCTAATTTCATTTGTGTTGATTACCCCCATATTGTTATTCATAACACTTTTACACCCCATCATTTCTGGAAGCAAACTATATGACGATCTAGCCTGGGATGTCAATGCCATGTTCTTTTCCTGAAAAATATAAGACTCGTCAAAAGCCAATGATAGACAACTATCGAAAGCACTTCATACAGTGTGCCCTTAAAGATCACACCCCATCCGGAGGGCCCTAACCTCCTACACCGTACCTTGGGTAAATTGGATTATACTCAGTAATCCTAATCTGAGATAGAGAGCGGGGGTAATCTGGGGAACGCTGCGAATATCAGTGGCTCATGGCTATATTATCTGGGCAATCCCTTAGTAGCTATTATTAAAGAGGAGGAGATTTCAACAAGTATGACCTAATAAGAGTATGATTTTGCTGTGTCCCTAGCTTGCACCCTATTATTATGAAAAAAATTGTCCATAATAGGACTAAAACATACTCAAAAAGCCACATTACGACTTACTATGTTTAATTCCCTTAATAGGAGTTATACGGTCCTATACGCATGTTTAACGCTTTAGGCAATATTCAAAATACCCCTGACTATGTTTTCGATTAATCTGCAGCTCTTACCGGCTATTTTCGGTAATTTGTGTGTGAAAGCATTTATAGTTTCCGTTTTTTATCGAGATTCTTTCCTAAATTTATAGTTTCGGTAATTCTTTCCGGAAGAATTAGTTTCCTAAATCAGTTGGGAATTCAGTTGACGTATTCATCGCTGCTTTTCCGCGACGTTCTTCTTCTTCGGCCATTGCTACATTTGGAGTTCTTTGAGCTGTTCATCATTCTCCTCTGCATTCATCTTCTTCCGCCATTGCTCGTTTGTTTGCAGAGTATGTTCACCGAAACTTGCCTGTATCATTCTTCTTCATCAATCATCGTTAAATTTATGTCACAATTTCTTGCATTTTGCTTCTACAATATGTCAATTCCTCAGTTGTACACATGTAGCTATGCATTCATCAATCTGTTTTCTCTACAATATTAACAAAAAAATCATAGTTTATTATAATTGATTTCATAGTTAATAATTTAGCTCGTTTGCTTTTCATGAACTCTATCAATGCTTTTATTTCATAAAACTTAATCGTATGTTGCTATTTCCTGTTTCCATTTAATGTTGGTGTTCCAATGTGTCTTGCTGTAAGTACTAGATTAGTTTCTTAAAAACTGGCTCTTTTCTATTCGTAACTGTCATTTTGTGTAGTTTTCTGATTTGCCACTTTGTGTGGTAAATAATAGTTATACATCCTTATTGACTGCCACATATTCACGCAAACTGTCATTTTAGTTTAACTAGTTGTCTTCATGCTTCTGTTTTGCTGAAATTTTGTTTTTCCTTCTCTTTTTAGGAACCTTTTATAGCACAATGGATCCTGTTTTACTTGTTATGGTCAAGGTGGATGGTTTTTGGGATTCTGACTATGTGTTCACCAATGTGCACACATGTGGTCTTCATGTTAACTATGGTGTTCAATATGTTTGTTTTGTTGATACGTTGACTGACATCCTTTCTCAGTACAAACCTAATCATAATTTCAGGCTTTCTTATATGCGAGATGGATTTCCTCTTCCTGTTACTATAAATGATCAATCTACCTTAACATTTTATCTTTATATCAAGTCTCTTCAACCAGATTTTCTAAAGTATCCACTTTGTGTTGAATTTTATCCTATCTCTTTTTCATATCCATCTTTTGTTCGTGTTGAACCTTCTGCTTTTCCTTCAGCTAATAATGTTGTCATTTCGTCAACTCATTCACTTTCTGTTAATGAGAATGTTGTTGTTGATTCTTCCCAACAACATGCCTCCTCACCTGCACTCTCTATTGATCATAGCTCATCTTTTTTTACTGAAAATGTGAACCTCTCTGTTAGACACTCTCAAGATGTTGCTTCTTGTAGTAACACTGTGTCTAGAGCTGTAGAAATTGAAACATCCGAAGACAGTGATGAAGGCAGCGATGACATTGAAGATGACTTATTAATAGAATCATCTCAGTCACTCTCATTTCTCCACAATTTTGAAGTCATCACACGGTCTCATCCTACTTGTCTTGTTCTATATGCTATTTACAAAAGTAAAAAAGACCTTATCCACCATCTGAAGATGTATGCTATCACAAACCACTTTCAATACAGAACAAAGACCTCTAGGAAAATATCTTTACATGTTATTTGCTTAGATCCTAAATGTCGTTGGACTGTTCGAGCTGTAAGACTAAATGGCGTACAAATGTTTCAAATGAGAAGGTAACTTCCATTTTCCTTCTCTTTGTTTGCCTTCATTGTAATTTCTTGTTTATCAGAATGCCATGTATTGGTGACATTCTTAGCCAAGAATGCCAAATGTATACTACTCACTTTTATAATAATGTCATTGTTTTGTCCTTTTAGATTCCGTCCAGAACACACATGCTCTATTGATTATAGACAAGGCAAACATAGACAGGCAACTGCTACTGTGATATCAAAACTTATTGCACACAAATACCATGATGCTTCCATTAAACCGTACCCACCAAAACAAATTTGTGAAGACATGAGTATGCAGTATGGAATTTCCATTTCATACAAAAAATCTTGGAAAGCACAAAAGAAAGCAATGCAGCTTCAATTTGGTTCTGATCTTGAATCCTAGCATGTTTTGCCTTCTATGGCTTATGTGCTTGGGAAGGCGAATCCTGACTCTATATTTGATCTAGTCACTGGGAAGGATGATGCATTTTGTACCTTTTTTATGTCATTCACTGCATGGATAGAAGCTTGGTCTTACTGCAGACCTGTTCTTATATTGGATGGTTCTTTCCTCAAGGCTTACTATAAAGGCACTCTTCTTACAGCTTGTTGCCAAGATGTCAATGATCACATAGTTCCTATTGCATTTGGTATTTGTGAGTCTGAAACAAAATCTTCTTGGAAATGGTTTTTATCCAAAGTCTGTCAGTCAATACAGTACAGACATGACCTTTATGTAGTACCTGATAGGCATAAAAGGCTTATAAAGGCTGTTTCTGAAATCCTGTCACATGTTAGCCACGGTTTTTGCGTTGCTCATCTGCGTCGTAACATGACAAACAAATTTAGAGGATCTGCAGCTAGTTTGGGATGGAAGTTCAAAGTTGTCTATATGGCAACAACTGTTAAACAATATGATGACTACTTATCCATATTGGATTCTGAAGACCCTAGGATAAGGACTTGGCTAGACAAAATAGGTGCTACCACATGGTCAAAAGTAATGTCTGGATCAAAGAGATATAATATTATGACATCCAATTGTGCTGAGTCTATGAACAAAGTCAATGTATGTGCACGAGAGTATTCTGTTTCTAAACTTGTTGATTTTTTGCGTGAAAGGATGCAACAATGGTTCGCAGAGAGGAAAGAAAAAGCTGAGAAAACAAGTACTATACTCACACATAAATGTGAGAAACGTCTTGTAGCTTTACAAGCTGAAGCTACACGTATGAAGGTACGTCAAACCTGATTCTTTAACCATAAGTTAGTTCTCTTTTTTTATCTGGTTTTATAATGCCACTTTGTTTATCAGTATGTCATTTTGACTCTGCAAATATGTCAGTTTTATTCTTGTGTTAGTATTTTGTTTAGGTACTTCTTTTTTATTCTAATTTGATATTCATATTTTGGCATTTCCTAAGTGAAACCATCATGTGCATATGAATTCGAAGTTGTTGATAGCAGATGCACGTCCTTTGTGGTCAATCTGAATTCTAGAAGTTGTACTTGCGGCCACTTTCAACTAGATCACTTTGTTTGTGTTCATGTTGTTGTTGCAATTGCTATACGCCCACATCTGTCATGTTACACTTACATTTCTCCTTATTACACTAGAGATGCTTGGCTTGCTACATGGTCTGGTATTATGCATCCAATTGTTGATCGTGACAATTGGCAGGTTCCTGCTACTATTCAAAACAAACTATGCAAGCCACCAACTTGTATGAAGCGTCCTCCTGGTCGCCCGAAGAAATCCAGGATTCCATCCATCGGAGAATATAGAGGTTCAAAAAGACAAAGATGTTCTAGATGCCATGTGTTTGGGCATAATAAGAAAGCTTGTAGGAATCCCATTCCAATCAATACCCAATGAAGCCATAGCTAGTTCATTGTATTTTATCTTTTGTTTTTATACTTTTAAGAATTCTACTATGTGGTTTGGACGTGGTTATCATTTGTTTAAATGTTCTGCCATTTAGTTTTCATGACTTGTGTTTTGACATTTTTTTACTCGTAACTCACATATGTCATATTTGATGGCAACTTCTGTTCACACTTGATGCTAGTTTGTTATATATACAATTCAATGATATATTTCACATGTTTAGCCATTCTGGCGTGTTTATGGTTTGTGTTTTGTCATTTTTGTTACTGTTAACTGCCATTGTCATATTTGATGACATTTTAGGTTCAACCAAATGTCATGTTGAATGTCACTTTATTATCATTTAAATGTTGCATATAAACAAAATTCTATCATTCCTTATAACTCCTATTATCCACCCTTGTTTAATTGTATCATTCACATGTTCTTTAACCACAATTGCATGTCAATTCTGTGATGTCATTTGTTTATTTAAAAATGACATATATCTGAGATTATGTCAATTGATGATAAACAAATGTTATCTGAATGTCATTTTTGTCAAATTATATCAAATCCATGCATATATGAACACAAGTATCTTATGAACTATTACCATTTGAAACATACATTCATGCTGTAAACCAAATGTCATACATTCAAAACACAAACGATAAGCATAATTGTTTCAAAAACAATAACACAAAAGATAAGCATAATTGTTTCAAAACAAATGTACTGGATGTCATCCCATAATATTAAAAGTACTATTACATATCATCATATAGTTCCAAAGCTTCACTTCATTCCTTCTCACCCTGCCTTCTCTCGTTGTATAGTACCAGCTCAGTTGCCATTTTTTCCCTAAATAAGGGTATTGCATCAGGATATATGGCATCCATGTCCATCGCTACCATTAGAAATCCTGCCATCTTCAGCATGTACATTCCATAGTTTCCCCTAATGCATAACATAAAAAAACATTTTTTAAAAATAAAAAAGAAGTACAGTATTATGCAATCTGTTTAAGTAAATTTATATGCTCTTACCCTTCATCTTGTTGTGGACATCCTTCTACAGGCTCTACTTCCAAATACCTTTCACCCATAATCTCTTCACCCATCAGTTCGTACACTTTGTGATAATCCATAATTCTGGGCAGGAGCACAATTATGCTTGCATAATAGCATCTGATATCCCTCAGTGAATCACCCCTTATGGCATTGGAATTGTACACCCTTACTTTTCTTTGCTTGATATCTAACACTAACAAGACCCAATGATTGCCAGTATTTAGAGGAAGGTACACAAAGTCTGTCTTGCTTGGCTATAGTTGTTAGCACCTATTATTTCACGCACAATGTTATCTTGTTCCGTTGACTTATGGTATGTGTAGTGCCCCTTTGATATTGTGTCAAGTTCACGCTTAAGTATTTGCAAGAAAAATGGGCTAGGTGTGGTATACTTCTGTGGCAGTTTGTAATGCACCCTTTTCATCCTCAAATAGTACATTACTACCTCAACATGCTGTAATAAATAAAATACAAATTTAGCAATTAAAGGTAAAGTAAACTGACTATTAATGTCATTCTGTACTAACACACATGTATTTAAATTTACACTTTGTAGTTAAAGTGACAACTATATGCGTACCTCGTCAGTGATCCATTGGTGATTCATAAAGAGGTCATATAACCATGTTTTTTATTCAACTTTCATTGTATCTAGCAAGAATGGTTTGTTAGTCATTTTGTCTTCGTCATTTTTGTACCTTCTGCCAGTTTTGTTTTTTGTGAATTTCTTCAGCAATCCAACTTCCAAGTATGCTTTCACCCTCTGTATTTCTTCAACTGGTGGGCTCTCTGTTGGATCTTCAGAGAAAGGTCCAATTATTTTCTTCAGCGGTGGCAGAAATTCATCATCTTCTCTTTTCTTTCCCTTTTCTCTCTTTCTCCTCTTTGATGCATGCTCAGTTCCCATGTACTTCACTGGTGACCTAACAACACGCTTTTGTTTGGGAAGATCCTCCTATGGCATTGGCATAAGATATATTATTTATTATGTTCTTATATGTTTGTTAAAAAGAAGTAATATACATTCAATATCATACTACAAAATGGTCATAAACATTGCCAGTTGAATGTCACTAGAACATTTGAAAATGCCACATTAATGTCATTTTACTGAGTTTTTGTATTTACCTGAGCAGTCTTTAATATGATTGCTCTACATGGATTAGAAGAATAGCTCTCAAAAGCCTTTTTTGCGATTTCATCTGCACTCCTGCACATCTCTTGGAGAAATTGACTATTTTCCTATGAGCCCATCCCCCAACCAGATTCACCAGTGTCTTTTTTATTTTCTTGTGCAAGTAGTCCCTCCTCTTGCATTTGCACACTGTCTTCAATTTGTTTCTCACTACCTTGAGACTGAGTGAATATGTTGAATGTAGGCATGTCACAAACTACTTCTTCAGTGTTCTTTTCTATCTCCTCAATGTTCTTCTCATCTTCTGCAGTTTTTTTTTTCTGCAGGAAAACCACCACCATCCTCAGTCTCTTCTTTAGCATCCTCAGCCTCTAAATTAGCATCCTTATTCACACATAGATGGCCAGTCTCTTCATTAACATCCTTAGCCTCTGCATTAACATCCTTATTCACACATGAATGGTCACTCTCAACATTTGCATCCTCTTTCTCTATAACAGCATCCTCATTCTCTACAACATCATCATTCTGTACAACACCATCCTCAGTCTCTGCATTCATCCACCCAGTCTCCTCTTGCACAATCATATCAGCAACATCATTCTCAGAATCTGACCCAGTCATGGCTAACACATCATCTTCTTTTTCATTTTTATTTTCTTCTTTTTCTTCTCCACTTTCTTCTTCATCCATATCACCCTCTGCAGTTACTTTTGTAGGATCACTCTTCTCAACACCCTGTGACATTTTGTTGAGCATCAGAATGACATCTTTCAAAAGAGCCTCTTGCTTTTTTGAGTCTGCTTCATATTTTTCATTTCTGCCACTAATCTGGCAGTCTCCTTGGCTTATTTTCTCATGATTTTTTTAATACTCTTGCTGTCTTTGCTCATGAAGACTACATACTTATCTCCTCCCCTTCCACTCTCACTAGAATCATCACTATCAGTCTCTTCACTTTCATCACTCTCTTCCTCACTTGAGTCATCATCACTCTCTTTTTCTGCTCTAGTCTGCTTTCTTTTTCTTCTAGAAGGCCTTTCTTGAGATTTGATTGTTTTACCAGTGCCCCTCCCAGCCTTTGTAGTTTTTCTTTTGGCTACTCTGCTCTGCATCACCTTTTGTTTCCCTTTTGCTACAATAGTATTTGGCTTTTCAGCATCAATCCTGCCAACATTCTTGATGACAAGGTGCATCACCTCCTCATTTATGTCATTTCCTTCTTCTATCATGGCAATCTCATCTGCAGTTAGTACTATTTGTGTCCATTCAAACTAAACCAAAAAACCATGTCAGTAAACAATGTGTGCACACAAACATTTAAAAGTTTACATATTAATCAATAACATACCTTGTCATTCTTGAATATAATTTCAGAAAGGACCTCCAGTGTAGTTTTTTTTAAATTCCCACTTTTGAGTCCTTGGTATGGTGTGTGCAGCCCCCTTCATGACCTTGCACAAACCAGACTTTGCTAAACCAGGAAATGTTTCAAATGCCCACCACTGGAATGCCACTATGAAGCCAGGGAATGTCACTCTATCTGATTTTCCTTTATCAGGTGCCTCGCAACTCTGCTTCACTTTGTTAACTAAATCCACCCAAACGTCATCACCCCATGGATAACCATTGAATGCATCCAAATCATTAACTAGGTTTATGTAGTATGCCTTCATTGGTCTAGCAGATTGATTCCCAAATAAGCAATGTGAAAGTATGTATAGTAGTGCCAGTTTCACTCCATCCTTTGTGAGTCTGCTCTCATCAGTGCTCGTGTAACTCTTCAATGCATTCTGAATATCTGCACGAGTCACAGTTGTCTTGGATCCTAAATAATTTGTGCATATATCTCCCTCAAGCTCTTCAGAAATATTTGGATTCACAACTCCAAACTTTAGAGCATACATTACTGCAAGATCATGCTTCTGAAAGCTGATGACGATGTCTTTAATATGAAACCTGATGACACTGTCATCTGTGTTTCCATTAACTTCAGTCACAAAGTTTCCAATCAATCCCAAAATCAATTGTCCACTGAGCCAAGGCATGTCTTCTATTCTTAACATCCAACCAAAAATAGTATTACTGAAGTCTGTCAATTCCTCTGTGCTTAGATATGTCTTTATTTTCTTAAGAACCTCAGCAACATTGCAGTAGGAGTTGACACGCAAGTCTTCCAACTTCACTAACACTGATTTCTTAAAAGCTCTTGTTATTGTCTGTCAATTTCACACAAATATAGGCATATTAATCACCATGTAATCTAATAATAATGACACTGTAATACAAAATGACACCATATAATCTAATAAAAATTGACTAAACTCTCATTAGTGAATCAGTTTCTCAATATTTCATTCAACGTGATGTTATATTACTTTCAAGTAAACACATACTCATAGAATGTCATTATTTGAGATATAATGTCATTATTGCCTTCAAATAATTCTACAATGCCAGTATATAACAACATATGCATGGAATGTCACTTTCATACAAAATGCCATCATATGATCTAATAAAAACTCAGTAAACTTTTATTAGTGCATCAGTTCAATGTGATGTTATTTTGCTTTCAACCTAACCGATATTCATAAAATGTCATTATTTGATGCAGAATGTCATGATAGCCTTCGTATAAGTTCATATTGCCAGTATATAAGCATATATTCAGTAAAATATTATCAGCATAACTCAGTAATGTCACTTTCATATGAAATTGGCAGTATAACTCAGTAAAATATCACTAATGCGTCATTATCTCAAATTCTACATAAATCGCAAGTTAT